TGTTTCTGGTATTGGAGACTCCCAACTCTGAAGAGCCTACTGATGACTACTGAGAGGTGGTCTGGGATTGCTAGCCAACTACACATTTAACACAGAGATGACCAACCAACAACCCTAACATAACCCCTACTAGAGGTTGCATTGTAGGAAACAAGCAAAGTGAAAAAGAGAAGGTCCGGAGCAACATCTGAGAAGAGTTAAGGTAAGGCTTGATGTGTTACTATTTTTAACAATGGTTTTATCTGCTGATGTTATTCTATTTGCTATTTCCATGTGCACTGCTGTAGTTTGATAGTTTAGTCTGTATTTCAAAAGCTGCTGTAATTCACTTTATGAGTAGGGTGGCTTTTTATGGGTAGGGGTGACCTGAAAAGCAGTCAATACATTCATTCAATGAAGGAATGAATATATTCCACATAAAACAGAGAATGTCCATAGGGCACAATGGCTTTGAAAGATCTCTCCTTCCAGATCAATCCTGTATGTAGACCCTCAAAAGATGTGTTAGAAATTAGGTGCATCTTCCAGAACTTGTAAACTCACTTTTAGCTCTTCATTTTGCAGAGTAAATGAGCCATGACTCTGTATTGTGGGCAAAAACAATGCTTTCCCAAGTTGGGGCCTTGCTATGAACAATGAGGCCATTCAAAGTTTTTTACCACTTTAGCAACAAATATAGGGTCCAACCTGTTCTGGTCAGAGGTCTCCTTGTTACAATATGCTAGTTTTGAAATGAATCTGACATCACCTCCAGGGAATCTGAAACACCAGCTGACCTAGACAGAGGAACAACTAAACATCTTAGGTAGACCAGTGGCTACATGTTTTCCAACCAGCTGTTTTAAAGGTTGCATGTACGGCCATGTATAGAAATAGAAAACAAAGGACTTGTAACACAGTCATATGTGGGCTGCAAACTGCAAGAAAAAGTTTTAAGTAACAGTAAAGAATTATGCTATTTTTTCCTGCCATCTAGTAATTACCTAGATTTTTGCATAGAAGTTATGGAAGCCTTACTTGTTACAAATTTCCTCCTATTTAACATTCCCATCATTATTCCACTACAGGGATACACAATAAGGATGGACTCAGGCAACCATACCGAGTTTCTTCTTCAGGGATTATCAGAGATCTGGGAAATGCAGGTCTTCTTCTGTGTCCTCCTCTTGATCTTCTATGTCATCATTCTTCCTGGGAATATCCTCATCATTGTGACTGTTTTGAAAGATCCCCAGTTGGGATCCCCCATGTTTTTCTTCTTGGGCAACCTGGCTTTGATGGACATTTGCTACAGCTTTGTCACCCCTCCAAAGATGATTGTCAACCTCTTCTCTGGATACCAAACCATCTCTTTCAAAGGCTGCATGATACAGCTTTTTTTCATCCACTTTCTAGGTGGAGCTGAGATCAGTCTCCTTATTTCCATGGCACTGGATCGGTATGTGGCTATCTGTCACCCACTGTATTATGTAACTGTAATCACCAAGCCAGCTTGCTGGGTTTTAGTGGTGGGTTCATGGGCTGGAGGATTCTTGCATTCCATAATCCAGGTCATTCTCATCTTCCCACTCCCCTTCTGTGGTCCCAATAAACTAGACA